ATGCTAAATTGACTGGTAGTTGTTAAACTGAATGAACGAATGTTACTGCTAAACTGAATGTATTGAATATATGTACCTGACAAGGACGTTATAACAGCACACAATGCACTTTATAGAATAATAGTTATAAACAGTACACGTTAATTTACAAAAGGTTCTTGCAGTGTATATTTATTTGTTACTTGACTCTCCTAACACTGCAGCTCGGGCTGCTACAGCTTCCAGGTGAGGCCCAATGCGCCCTCTGAGCTGTGGAGGCTTGTGAGCAAAAATTCTACTTTGTGAGCTACGGGCATTAAAGTGGTGAGCCAGCCATTGGGCTACTGCATAAATTAGTTTGCTCTGGAGCCCTCCTTCCTGAGCTAAGGCAAAAATGGGTGAGCCGGAGGCTAAAAAACTGTGAGCTGGCTCACACTAAATCAGCTTAGAGGGAGCAGTGCTGGGGATCCCCCGGAATTACATCTCCTCTCCAGACTACAGAGATCAGCTCCCCTGGATAAAATGGAGGGTGGACTCTCTGGCATTGTGTCCCACTGAGGCTCCTGTCCTCCCCATCCTCCGTTCCCAAATCTCCAGGAGTTTCTCAACCTGGAACTCGCAACTCTCTACCCCTCCCCAATCCCCTGATGGTGGCTGGGGGGACCTGGTAATCCTACTCCCAAATTGTCGTTTGATCCTAAAAGCCGGGCTTGTGGCAACCAGGGCCAGGGCCTTTTCAGTGGCAGCTCCTACCTGGTGGAACGAGCTCACGGAGGGGATAAGAGCGGAGCCGCCACTACCACCTTCACCAACTACCACAAGGGACGGCCCAATATAAAACTTTACAGTACCGCGATGGACCTGCCCTGGGTTACTATCCCCTGGGTTAATATTCTTAAGCCTTCCTCTTGATTTGATTGCAGCAATAAGATCACTGTTGTCAGTGGAGCGTAAAGCTCTTCCAGGGACATAGCAGAGAAGGCGGTCCCATAGGTACATTGGCCCCAGGCTGCTCAAGGCCTTAAAGGTAAACACCAAAACCTTGAACCTGACCTGGTACTCTACCAGAAGCCAGTGTAGCTGGCGCAGCACCAGTTGAATGTGTGCCGTCCATGACGTTCCCGTCAGGACTCACTCCGCCGTATTCTGAACCAGCTGAAGTTTCCGGATCAGTCTCAAGGATAGGCCAGCATAGAGCGAGTTACAGTAGTCTAGCCTGGAGGTAACCGTCACATGAATTACTGTGGCTACTATTGCCCTTCTTTATTACCCTCCCTTGGATCCTGCTTTGAAATTACGCTGTACACCAATATGCATGTGTACGGATATGTGCATAGAGTTATCCAAAACCAGTACAAATGAGCAAACCATGCAGAATCCATCAGTTTTTAATCCATTTCATTCAAATAAAACCAGGTTCTGGGAACCCAATTTTCTTAAACCTTTTACCGAATTTTCGTAATGCCCAAACAACCAGAATTGTTTTGTTTTGAGCTGAAAATTCAAGGAAGGGGCTTACAAGAACTTTGAGTCAGCTCATCTCCCAGCTAGTACATCTAGGCCACAGTCAAATCCCACTGCCCCCCCCAAAAAAACATGCTCCCACAAGATAGCCTTACCCGGTACATGGAGAGATCGATCCGAAGGGAATTGTGTAGCTGGTCCAGCAATTTGACAAACCGTTCTTTCTGCAGAAAAAGAGAGGCCCCAGAAGCAGGTAAATGGAGTAACGGAAAAATTAACTCTACCCCCCCCCAACACCCCCACAATTCAAAACACCAACTATCTATTAAGAAACAAAGTCTTGGCTTTAGGACTGCATGCATGTTGGGGCAGGGAACTGACCACGTTATACAAAACGAGAATCCTTTCTTTGACCTTCAGACCAAAAGCATCCACCACTCCCTGGTGCATCTGATCCACTTTGTTAGTTTCTGAGTATCAGCCTGCAGAAGTGTGTGCCTTCTTGACTCCTGCATACTCGATGGAAACCCTTCCTCTCCCCAAAACACATGGGGCGCCATTGGCTGGGACAGATGGCAGGGTACCCAAATCTGAACGTCATTCTGGGGATGGTAAAGCTGCCAAAGCTGTGTTAAGATGCCAGAAATCTCAAATCGGAGCACTCTGGCAAGTAAACCCCAATGCCACTCTTTGACTCATTTCCCACAGCCGCTGCTCTGCGCTCGCTCCTCTCTTTGCCCCGATGGTACGTGTCAATTTCCCACTCGAAGCTGCGCGGCCGCATTTTGACCCGCGGCTTCACTCGATTTCCCCCGCGGTTTCGTGATCCTGTTTTTTGAGGATTACGAAACTGCGGGCAAAATCGGGCAAAGCCTGGGAAACAGAACCTCTTTGGCTTGCTATCTGCTGCACTTGGGCACCACCCAATGGCCAGAAAGTTGTAGTGCAGCCCACTGAGGCGGTAGGTGGTCAGGTGACACAAGAGGTCCAATAGGGATTCCCCGGGATCTATAAAGACTCAAATTTTGAGATGTTTGGCTCCATTGAACCTAGCTCCTGTCAGGGTTCTCGGCATATTTGCTTATTCGAGCACTAGCCTGATCCAGATATGGCAGTTCCTCTGGCATGGCACCTGACCACTCACATTCTTGCAAACCACTCTGGCTTTTCATGCACTGGGCTTCATAAAAAGGTAACCAAGACTTCCTTAAGCTCAAATCAACTTAGGGACATTGGACATTAAGATCAGGGCGCATTTCCCCCCATCCGTCTGAAGACTGAGGTGACTGAGAAGGGCTTCTATGGAAGAGGACGGACTCAGCTTAAAGATTACACACTACAGGGCAGGGACCCAGCTCTGTGAAGCCAGATGACATCATCTGGCCACATGACTGGGAGGGTCACTCCCTCCCGGACAGTAGGCCCCAGGGACACAGCTGTAATGCACAAGCTCACAGCAGTATGCTCCATATTCTAGCATGATTCAGTCTTCTACTGTCTTCCGGGAAGGTGACCCCACGTTCTAGCCTGACATACTCACTCAGTTCTGGGCCAAGCAAGATGGAAGGTCAACCAGGGCCCCTGGGTTCGTGCCACCTCCCCCCTCCTCCCCCCCTCCCCACCCTTCCCCTTCCCCAAAGACTCGTGAGCAAAGCAGATGGGACAAGGGAATTAGCATTGGTGCGACGTTGCATGCAAACAGCAAAGACAGTCGTTTGGAAAACAATGGTCCCTTCTGGGGGAATCCCAGGTCTTTCCCTGAAGGCTACCTTTACTCAGTCCAACAGAAGGCAGACACACCCCACTTCCTAACTAGCTATTGTTTGCCCAGCATGTACGTGCCACTCCATAGCTGGTGCCCCAACCCCCCCAGTCCTGGCTACCATGTTTCTTTCTCTGGACTGTTGGTTTTTTCCAGGTGTTGCTCGTATTTTTTAATGATGTTCTTTTTTTAAAAAAAAGTTTGGATTGCGTGATATTAAGATGTAATGGAACACATAATGTAATAATCAATGTCTTAACAGTTAGTATTAATAGTAACTAATGGTAATAAAGGCTTTAATAATAAATATATGATGTAAAAACATTCCTAATACTGTGTATATGAAATCTTTATGTTAAATGCTCTGGATTCACTCTGATGTTGATCGTCCTTGTTATTAATAAGTTATAGATTATTATAATATCTGTATCTCCCCCTTTCCCCTTGTTTTTCTGCATCCCGGTTTTAATTTAAAATGACAATAATGAAAAAGCTATTTAAAACAAAACTTGGATCACATGGAGCATTTCCACAGATGGAAGGATTTCCACCTGCTGAAAACATGACTTTTTCACCTCCCCCTTTCTACAGCTCTCCAAAAATGCCCCCCAAAATACTGATCTGGGGGCCTCCCTCTGCCCCAGAACCAACATTAGGGGGAGGATCTGAGGCTGCATTGGGAGGAGGGAGGTGAACGCGTAATGCTTCGAAGACAGAAATCCTTCCATCTGCAACAACACTCCAGTGGATCCAAGCCCATGAATTCCCCGTCTATATGGTAGGGTTGCCAAGTCCATCTTCCACCCCCAGCGGGGGACTTTGGGGGCGTTCCTGGAGGGGGCGGGGCATCCCCGACGTGATAACGTCACGTTGGGGATGTCCGCCGCCCCCCACC